ACTCTCAGCTCAGGGAAAAACTGTTGCTTCCCCATCCCCCCACCCCGCCTCCCCCTTTCCTTCCACAGGGAGGTAGTGACCAACCACCGGCCACTTGGATACTGGAATGAGGGAGGGTACAGACCTCCTGAGAGGTGTCCTCTAGAGCCATTGTCTGTGGCTCCCGAGGGGGGACAGCAGCTGCTGGGAGCTGAGAGCACAGCAGCAAGATGGTCCCATGGAGTCAGTGATGCCAGGACCAACAGAATGCCTGGCAGTCCTGGGACTCGGCAGTGAAGACCAGCGGGACAACAAGGGCAGAAGTTTCTGGGCCCCCAGCCCTCATCCTCTCAGGAGGGCTGGGGGGGGGGGGGGTTGCTGGTATTCAGGCTGACTTAGAACTAAAAGCTGACGCAGAAGGAAGGTGGTCTCCTCCCACCCGGAGGGAAGAGAGTGGGAGACTGTTGTCCACCGCGCACCACAGAGCGCAGTGCCCCTGGCTGAAGGCTGATCAGATCTGGGCCGAGTGGGGCTGGTGCTCCGCAGGCTCTTCCCCCCGCTCCGCCCACACCCACCACACAAGCACTTGCGAAATCCCTCTCAGAAATCCCTCTCGGCCTGTCACGGGTCAGTATTCCAGCTCGAGGACTTTACCCTCTTGTCCCCACTGCTGGTCACTGCTCTCAGATGAAGTCAGAGGTCAGCACTGACAATCAAGGAGCTTCAGCTCCACCTTCACCCAGGAACACTCATACACACTCATACACACACACACACACACACTCTCCAGGCCTCAGCTCCCGAGGGCAGTGCCCCTTTTCCTCTACCTTAGCCAGAATAAATATTTAATTAGTTAGAGATGGAAGCCTTTGGAACTGAACAAAATTAAACATAATTCTCCACAGTGGCACTTCTCCCACACAACCATGTGCAAACACACTTTTTTCACAGAGAAAATTGAGTAGAGAAGGAAAAGGCAGAATACCTAGATGTGCTAGCACGCCTCTGGATCCTCCTTCCCACCTTTTTAGCTTAGCTAGATTGGAGGTGGGGGAAAATGACTGACACATCCCCTGACTTCCATGTCTCTTAGAGCCCACCTTGTCCTCCACTGAGATCTAAAGCCAAAAGTACAGACAGGCCTGGGCGCCTGGGTGGCTCAGTTGGTTAAGCGACTGCCTTCGGCTCAGGTCATGGTCCCGGAGTCCTGGGATCGAGTCCCACATCGGGCTCCCGGCTCAGCGGGGAGCCTGCTTCTCCCTCTGACCCTCTCCCCTCTCATGCTGTTTCTCTCTCTCTCTCAAATTTTAAAAAAAAAAATCTTAAAAAAAAAAAAAAGTACAGACAGGCCTGGGTATCGGGCCCATCCCCACCCTGGTCAGTGGAAACTGGCAGGAAGTTTCTCTGTCAGGGACATTTGGAGGATTAAAGATTCAGAGGGCTGGCTGGGGTCCCAGAGGGTGTGAGTGGGGCCCCTCTCCCTGACTCCTGGGGCCCAGGATTGTCTTCTGCCAGTCTATACAAAGAAGGTGAGGAGCTGGAGAAGTAAGCAGAAAAAAGGCCAGAGAGTGGTCAAGGGCAAGCACCAGGATAGTGCAATTATCTCAACCCCAAGACAAGATGACACCTATCCCCTTCCCATCCCAAGCAGGGAGAGCCAGAGAACGTGGTGAAATGCAGATTAATGGGGGCTCTCTCACACCTGGGAGCAGGCTTTCTGTGACCACAGCCCTCCCTTGCTGCCCAGTACTTCCATTAGCAGAGTAAAGCTACCCCATCCCTGCCCCCTCCCCACCCCCAGAGCCTAGCCCAGCAGGGAGAGGCACCAGATTCAGCAGGGTCAGGGCTTCTGACTCAACATGGGGGGCAGGGTGGGGAGGACAACAGGGGCTCCCAGCAGCCTCGCTTACACACCCGCTCAGAACCAACAGGTCCGCTCCGAGGCAGGGATGCTAGCTTCTTGGCACCAGAGCGCCAAGCCAAGCATGGGATCCCATAAACAAGAGGCTGGGGCAACAAGACAGGGACGTGGACTCGGTATAGGGAGACAACCCTGCTTTTCTGGCCAGTTGGCCCTCAGGGTAGATATTTGATTGTCTGAGGGAGAAATCACACCTACAGATATTCTCCCACTCACAGAATTTACTCACCGCACACATGAAGAGACAACAGAGTGTGTGTGTCTGTTTGTCCCTCTCACACAGACACACCTGCCTCAGAGACACAGACGCCACTCTGAGGCACAGGCTGCAGAGGGGCTGGCAGAGCAGGGATTTCACGGGCACTGGATTACCAGGAACTTGAAGAGGGCTCTGCCCAGCCCCCAGCCCTTGCCCCATCTCTGACTGACCCCTCCCAAACCCTCAGAGATGGATGTAAAGGGGGCGGAGGGTCCCCATGGGGGCCTGTAAACCCAGAATGCTGAGAGGGCAGAGGTTTGAGTCCATGAGGCAGGGATCTCAAAGACTCAATGTGAAAACAGTCCCGCTGGCTCTCAGAGCTTGAAGAAATAATTGAGCAAAATAGGATCAGCAGAGGAGAGACTGACAAACACAGGGTCCCACAGGCTCCCAGCTGCCACTGAAGCCTGAGGGACTACAAAAAAAGTGGGAGGGTTCGAGTAAGTCTTGTTGAAAACTTTCTTTTAGCAACAGCGTGTTAGGAACTCGAAGGCTGCAGCATGGATGAAGCCAACAGGAGGTGTGTCATTGCTCCAGAAGGCAGGGTAGGTCCCCAAATTTAGCTTGTCTGGGCCGCCCCACTAGAGGCCCCAACACACCCAAATACTGTATGTGACTAGAGCCTCCAGGGGCAGGGGGAGGCCGGCAGGTTAAAGAGGCGGGGGGGGGGGGGGGGGGGCGGCAGCGCTGACGAGCACAGTAAAGGACCCGCAGGGTGCCAGGCTCCTGGCCAGTGACAGGGGAGAGAGGAGGCCCTGCCTCCAGGGGGAAAGCTGGCCAGAGGCCCCAGTGAAGGGACTGGGCCTTGGGGTACCAAGGGAGACAAGGAACTCTCTCTCTTTGGAACAGAGAATCTGTGCGGGTCACTTTAGATTCTGGCCAGGCCCAGAGGGACAAGGCTGCAGACAAGTCCTTATCCCTAGGAGCCCATCACAAGTGCAGTCAGCCACCCACATTTGGCCCCGGTCACCTGGACTTTGGTACGGGGCAGCGACCCCCTCCAACACAGATGTGGGAGGGATTGCCTGCTGGAGGCCTTCCCAGGTTCGCTTCTCTGTGAAGAGGGGCTCACTCCGTTCCTCAGGATCCTCAAAAGCCCCCTGAGTACTGGGTCCAACAACTCAGGGAATCAAGCCCAGGTTTTGATGCCAGGAGCCTGGCTTGGGGAGAGAGAGAAACCCCCAAGCTGAGGCCAAATATTAGCGCCACACACCTGCAATTAACCTACTTGCCAGAGAGCCTCCAGGCCGGTAATTAACAAGCCGTGGCCCCGAAAACCAGTTTCACCAGCAGCTTCCCCCTCCCCAGCCCAGCCACACACACCCCATAACGGTATAGGAGCCTTAGCCTTGGGGGACCGGGGCAGACACTCAGAGCCACTCCTTCCTGTTTCCCGTTAAGCACATGGACGCTCTGACCCCGCTCCCGCAGCGGGCACTGGGGGCCGGTGCGAACAAAAAGCAGCAGGACCCTCCCCGCCCTGCCACTCCAGCCACCGGACCGGTGCAGGCCAGGAGCGACGCCGCGGGCCCGCTGCCAGGCTGGGGCTCTCGCGCAAATGGTCACCAAGCTCTTCTCCCCAACAAAGGGGGCGCCTGTGGCTCGGGCCCTCCCTCCCAGCCCCTACCTGTTGCCAGGAGGGCTTGCCTCTCCCGGCTCGGGGCGGCGCGCCCCACCACGCCGAGGCGCCCGGCCAGCCTGCCCTCGGGCGGCGCTGGGGACCCGGCCGCTGCCGCGAGGCGCTCCGGCCCGCCCTCCCCCAGGCCCGCCGCCATGAGCGCGCCGGGCACAGGCCCCCGAGCCCGCGGCTGCCGCCCCCCGCCCGGCCGCCCAGAGCCCGCGCCCTGGGCCCTCTGTCCTTGTCGCCCCCTGCTGCCTCCGCAGCGGGGGCCCTCTCGGCGGAGCCGCGGCGGAGCGGCCCCCACTTCTCCCAACTTTTCCGCGGCCGCTCCCCGCGCCACCCCTGCGCGCAGCGCCCGCGGCTCCCAAGCTGGGGCCCCGACTCACTCGGCGGCAGCGGCGTCGCGGAGCTGGCCCGGCCGGGAGCCGCTGCTCCGTCTCTCCTGGCGTCCGCGCTCCGGGCCCCCTCCGGACTGGCTCGGCTCGCTCCTCCCCTCCCCCTTCCGCCCGCCCGCCCGGCCGCCCGCTCCCTCCCTCCTTCCTCCTCCGCCCGCCGAGCCCAGCCGAGCCGCGTCCGAGCCCAGCCCGGGAGAGCAAGGCCGCGGGCGGCCCAGGAACCGGGAGACTGGGCGTGGGCCTGCGGCCCGGCGACGGCAGCAAGAGGAGGGAGGGCAGCGGGGCGCAGGCCTGTGCGCGGGGCGGCCTCGCCCAGCCCCCGCTCGCTGCCGCCGCCCTTCCCGGCCCTGGGACCCGCGCCCTCGCGGGCCAGCCCCGCGGCCGCGCCCACTGTAATCTCGGCGCCGGGAGAACCCCCCGAGGGGGGAAGGCTGTGTGCGGGCCCGGCGGCCACTCCGGGCTCCCCGTGGCCCTCGGGGACAGACCCGCGAGATGCCCGGGGATCCCGGGCCAGCAGCGGCAGAGCGCCTGCCCCACCCGCCCGCCCCCAACTGCGGTTGGCGACTTCAGCCCTGCTGCGGCCCCCGGTTCCCCGGCCCGACCGATTGCCACACTTCCCAGCTCTATACCCACTGAGCGGCGGAGGGAGGAGAGCGCCCCGGCCTCGGGCGAGCGAAGCCTGGGGGAGTCCCTTCCGAGTGCGGTGCGGCCAGGCCGAGCGCCTCTCCGGGCCGGCCCAGGCAGCGGACCCTGGTGATTCCACTGCCCTTCCCTGCGCAGAGCCTGCGGCCCCTGCGAGATCCCCCACTGCATCCGCGCCACAAAACCCACGTTTCCACCCGGGTGTTTAAAACCTACCCCCGGTGGCACACATACCCCGCTGTAGTAGATACTCTGAAAGAGCCAACCCCCAACTTTTGTTTTGTAGAATGTGTTTGAGTGCCATCTACACTGTTTTTCCCTCTTCTAACTCATATTTCTAAGATGACTTTCCCTTAGTCTGGTAAAATTGACGTTTCGGGAAGATGCGACATGTTTATCCTAGAAAACTGACCTCGACTCCTAGCATGGACAGAATGTGGCTAGGATGTGTTTGAAGGTTTGTTTAGAAAGAGAGCTAGAGCTTACTCCACGTAGAGGTAAGTTCGTTTTTTACCTCCATGAAATGGTGTTTTTGTCCTGTCACGGTTAGAACCTCTGACAGTAGCTTCTTTCATGGTTTATCTAGTCAAGTTCAGGTGTTTTGATAGCTCTCTTAGGAAGGAGAGTGACCTCCCCACCTATTCCAGTTGAGAGCTTGGCCCTCACCTAAGGCTCTTTCCAGAGAGGTAGAGAAGCAGAAGCCGACTGATTTTCAAGCTATTTGTTCATTTGCTCTCTGCCGCTCTCTCCTACCAGTGGAGAAATGAGAATTATTGGCCCAACCCCTGGCCCATCTCCCCCCAGACCAGCCCCCAGGGGACTCTTCCGCCTCTTTTAGCCTGACCTGCCTGATTTTACAGTTCCCAACAAGCCCTCCAGCCCTGTTTTACTTTGCCCCGGGCTGAATTCCTCCCTGATTAGCACTGCTTACATCTTTTTACCTCTCTGTAACCCTCTCCCTCTGCCTTCCAATCCAAAGTTCCCTCTACCTTTCTTGAGAGTTCTCCCCAGACTCCTCTCTGCTACATACCCACACACCCTTTTCCAGAAGGGTTCAGTGTCTACTTCGGGCTCCAGCTAACCTTCGGGTCCCTCTCTAACTCCTCACGCCTCTGTACTATTTGGTTCCTTTCCTTTGGCTTCTGAGCCCTTTTCTCAAGCAGTTTTCCTAGATGCCAGGTTTCTCCAAGGTCCCCGCAAGACTTTTTAAAGGATTCCTTAGAGGACTGAAGACCGTTTAACTTTTTTTAAGATAGCAGTGGGCAGGGGAAGTTTGGGGGCAGAAGTTGGATAGCCAAGGCCTGAGAAATAAAGATAAGAGGGTGTACCCCTCCCCCAAGGGACAAAAGAGAAGGTGGATGGAGAAGGGGAAGTAGCCTCAGGCAGCATTAGAATGATGCTACCAGTTCTGTCAACATACTTAGGACAGACGCTTGCACCTGCGCCACACCCCCACTCCCCGCCCCCCACACCCACTCCCCGCCGCAGCTGGACCAGGAGATTTCGATCGCCACCTTTCTGACCCATCCCCCAGTGCCCCCGGGCAGACACAGCCACGCCCGCAGTGCCCCAAGCTGCCTGCCTTGCTGTGACTCACTTCCTCTATATGGGCTGCTGAGGTGGCCTGAGGCAGAGGACACCACCAGGCCTTCAAGCTGGGATTTACGTATAAGCAGGCTTCGTGGACAGGAGAAGGCATGGACCCCAGCTGAGGAAAGTCAGGCTGGCTCGTGCAACACAGAAGCCTGTTTGGGTAAAGGAGTAGAGCATGGCTACTATGTGAGCAGAGGGATTCAGGTGCCAGGAGTTCTGGGGAGAAAAAGTTACATAACAAGAGAAAAATACCCGGGAGGAATTTCTATGTGTTCTGAAATCATGCAATGCAAGATTTTGCAGAAGAGCAATATGGGGTTGGAGTTGAACCCGAATTCACGAGTCAACAGTTGAGGCTCTATATATTACTGCCTGTCCCCTATATACTCTACTAAGACGGACCCCAAATCAGCTATGCCCTCATCTAAGTAATGAAGAAAGCACAGGAGAAGTTAGGAGACCTGGATCTGGTTCCAACACCGTGGCCCTTGGGAAATCACTTTGCCTCCTGAGTCAGTAATAAGAGTAGACCAGTCATCTCCAAGAACCCCTCCAACTCTGAAATTCTAAAATTTAGAGCACAGGGGTAAAAGGTGATTAGTAAATTTGAAAACAACCTCAATCTGGCCCTGGAGTTGAACAAAACAAAACGCCAGGACAAAAGAAGTGAGTTTCCACCAAGTTTCAGTAGAGCATCTCCCGTACTCCCTCCTCACGCTCCTGGACCACAAGGACCGCTCTTCTGCCGTGTGGTTGCCCTTCTGCGTACATCCTTCAAACGCAGGATTCAGCCTTGCTGATCTGCCAGGAATCCCTCACAGAAGTTCAGACTGGGGAAATAAGAGCCCTCTCCCTCTCCCTTCATTTCCCTCTAAACCTACTTGGAATGTGTGTCCAGAATGGACTCTGAAGGATACGGAAGGCCAAAGGCATGGGACTTGAGAAGACACTGTATTGGGGTAACCCAGCCTAGGACGTTTCCTGCAATTGTCTTGAGGTCCCATTGGTCGGGGGGAGGTCCCTTGAGTAGGTGTCTCCTTGAGGCTCTTCTGCTGACCATGCCTGCCTGCCAAGTCCACCTAGGAACCTGATGTCCTCCAGAGACTGCACTTCCCAACAAGCTCACGAAGGGAGCCCCTGGGTTATCTGTGGGTGGAGCCAGCGCCTCGGAGGCCTCAAGTGGCCACTAGAGGGCATTCGGCTCTCGGTGGCTTCTAATGCCCTCCCGTGGCCAGATTGAAGATTGGCAAAATAGAACTTGCGGAAGAGAGCCAAGACTGGACTCCATAGGGAGACAAGTTAACAATAACAGTTCCTTATAAAATAACATTGTATCAATATTTATTGTTACATATTAGTTAACATTTTGACATGTGTACCTACTAGTCTGTGCGAGCACTCTTCTAAAGGGGCGCCTGAGGGGCGCCTGGGTGGCTCAGTTGTTAAGCGTCTGCCTTCGGCTCGGGTCATGGTCCCAAGATCCTGGGATCGAGCCCCGCATCGGGCTCCCTGCACCATGGGAAGCCTGCTTCTCCCTCTCCCACTCCGCCTGCTTGTGTTCCCTCTCTCTCTGTGTGTCTCTCTGTCAAATAAAATAAATTAAAAATATAAATAAATAAATAAATAGATAGATAGATAAATAAATAAATAAATAAAGGGGCACCTGGGTGGCTCAGTTGGTTAAGCATCTGCTTTTGGCTCAGGTCATGATCTCAGGGTCCTGGACTTGAGCCCCACATCGGGCTCCCTGCCCTTCCCCACTGAGCTTCTCCCTCTTCCTCTGCTCGCCGCTCCCCCTGCTTATGCGCGCTCTCTCTGTCAAATAAAATCTTAAAAAAAAATAAGGTGCTCTACATGTATTAATTTATTTCTCACAACAGCTTATAAACACTATTATTATCTCTGTTTTAAAGATGAGGAAACTGAGCACAGAAAGGTTGAGGTAGGGGTGCATGGGCGGCTCAGTTGGTTAAACATCTGCCTTTGGCTCAGGTCATGATCCCAGGGTCCATGATCTGAGTCCCACATTGGACTCCCCGCTCAGTGGGGAACCTGCTTCTCCCTCTGCCTGCCTCTCCCCCTGCTTGTTCTCTCTCTCTCTCTCTGACAAATAAATAAATAAAATCTTTAAAAAGGAGAAGAAAAGGGGCGCCTGGGTGGCTCAGATGGTTAAGCGTCTGCCTTCGGCTAAGGTCATGATCTCAGGGTCCTGGGATCGAGTCCCGCATCGGGCTCTCTGTTCTTTGGGAGCCTACTTCTCCCTCTGCCTCTCTCTCTCTGTCTCTAATGAATAAATAAATAAAAATCTTTTTTTAAAAAATTGCCATTAATTTAAAAAAAAAAAAAGGAGAAGAAAGAAAGTTTGAGGTAATTGCTAGTCACATAGGAGACTGGAATTCTGAGTCCAAGAAGTCTGGCTCCAGAATTTTTGCTTTTAATCACCATGCTGAAACTGAGTCCCATCTTCCAGGTTGCCAGGTAAATTACAGGATGCTCAGTTAAATCACAATTTCAGATAAACAACAAATGATTGTTATCCTAAGTATATCCCATGAAATATTTGGTTCAGACTTAATACCAACAAATTATTTATCGTTTACCTGAAATTCTAATTTAACTGGGTGTCCTGTATTTTTTTTCATTAAATCTGCCAGCCTTATTTTACAAGGCATTTTTCTCTGCCAAATGCCATCACATATATTACCTAATTCAGTCCTCCCAGGAAGACTATTCTCAGGTGCCCAGGATGCCCCCTCCACACACTTCAGTCTCTCCCAATAGTCCCATTTTTTTCTCAGGGAAAGAAACAGACACAGAGACCTGAAATGACTAGCTGAGGTTACAGAACAGAACGATTGGCAGAGCTGGGGCTTGAACCCACTTTCTCACGGCAAAAATTGGTGGATGTTTCCCAGTTTAACAGGAGACAAAGTGAGAAGCAGTGATTGCCACCAAGGAAATCTCCCTTCGTGCATTCTTAGGCCTGGTCTGCTCTGTGGAAGAGGGGCAGGTCCCTCCCTCCTCAGGGACGTGAGAGAACCGGCGAGGGCCTTTCTTGGCGGGGAGAGGGGCAGAGGAGTGGAAACAGCTCTCCAGCTTCTGTGCCCAGCCCCCACCGGACTGGAGGAAAGCAGGAAGGAGACTGCTCCTAGGTCCCAGGCTGTGAGGCTCAAGCGACTACCTGCTAGGGGCCCCGGGGCTCCCAGGGCTGCTCACCTGCCGCTCTGTGCACTGGCAGCCCCAAGCCCAGCTGCAGCGGTTGCATCACTACTGCTAAAACAGTCCTAGCAGCCAAAAGGCCCCAGAAGGAATCGAAGACACAGGAACCCAGGGAGCCTCTCCCATCTCCCTGTTGCCTTTTGGGAGCATCCTGCTTCTGTCCACAGGGAACACTCTTTGCATTTTTCTCCCTTGACTCTGCTGATCTGTGCCCACCCTCAAATACCTGCTCTTTCTTCCCCTGCCCTTCCCACCCAGGCTGACTGGCTCTGATAAGGTAGTAGTAGTCAGGGAGTTTGGGGGTTAGGACCCCCTCTGGGGTGCAGGCTGGGGTGCCCTGCTGGTATGTGCCCCAACAGGTTTTTCTCTATCAGCCTCTAAATCAGCCTGGAGCCTGTCTGACCTGTCCCCCCAGGGAGCTGGGGCCAGAGGCGGAGCCAGGTCAGAAGCTGGACTTAAAGCCTGGGCTTCTATGGTTCCCCCCTGGCCTCACAGGGGAAACAACGCACCTAGCCTCTTGTGTCCAGCTGAGCTGCTGAGAGGCTGAGCAGAATTTTCTCTCCGCGGGCTGAGGCCCGGCTCCTGGGAGGAAAGATGCTCGCTAGGGAGGGGTTTGCCTGTGGGACCAGGTACGGCCGGGTCCTCTCCCACATTTGGGAGGGGCCAGAGCCCAGGCGACGGCTGGGCTGGGCTGCTAGAGAGGTCATCTGACTGGCTGCCCGGCCTGGGAGGCACACTGGCCGACCACGCAGAAGCCGGTGCTCACACAGGCAGTTGCCAGGCTGTGACTGCCACTCGCCCCCAGCACCTCCAGGTAAGCACTGGACCTGGGCCCTCAGGGGGGAAGGAGGAGGGAGAGCTTGTGGATCCCTTGGGAGAGGGAGAAAGGAGTTTTCTTTTTCTTTTTCTTTCTTTTAAGACTTTATTATTTGACAGAGAGAGAGACAGCGAGAGAGGGAGAACAAGCAGGGGGAGCAGCTGAGGGAGAGGGAGAAGCAGGCTTCCCGCGGAGCAGGGAGCCCGACGCGGGGCTCGATCCCAGGACCCTGGGACCATGATCCCAGCCGAAGGCAGACGCTCAACGACTGAGCCACCCAGGCGCCCCTGGAGTTTTCTCTTTCTAATGTGAGTGCTTGCTCCCTTGTCTAGGCACCCATGTACCCGAAGGAACACATACATCAGCCCCGAGATCACACCTGCTGAGCTGAAGATCACTGCCAGAGACTCCAAGGAGGAAAGGCAGGCAGCAGGTAGACAGCCTGGTGGGCAGGGGGCAGGGGCTTACTCCTGGGCTGGGGCTGAAGGTGGGGAGATGTTTTAGAGGTTGTTATCTCCCACCCCACATACTTAATCCTGCCACATCGCCTCACCTCCCCTGCACCGCCCCAGGAACACCTAGCCAGGCCATCAGAAGGAAGGGATATGGATCTCAGAAGGGGGTCATCCACCTGAGACCAAAGTTTGGGAGCCTTGGGACCACCCTGGAGTCAGGGAGGGTTTGTTTGGTGCTCATTCTAACAGCATTCCTGATCAATCCTTGCTTCCTGAAGGAGGGGTGAGAGGTGGGGAAGATGGGTGCTCCCCACTGAGCACCGATCCCAAGGGTACCCATGTCATCCCCTTACCCCTCCATTTGGGCTCCCAAACCTGACAAGCAGGTTGATGTTCTTTTTTTTCTGCAACATGGGAAAGGACCGGCATGGGAGGTGGGCCTCAGGGTCTGGGGGTCATAAAGAGGCCCAAAGGGCAGGAAATTCTCCTCAGTTGGCTCCTGTTTCCCTCCCTGGGACAGCCAGTCATACCATGTCTGTGGCCAGTGGGAAGACAAGATCATCCCTGACCCAGGAGATCCTCAGCCACCTGGGCCTTGCCAGCAAGGTAGGGGCTGTGATCGTTGGAATCGTTGTTACTATATCAACTCCAGGGCGGTGAAGGAATGGAGGATGGGAAAAGGGAGAGCAGGCCCTGAGACCATGCCAAGGGCCGTGCTGAGGCACTGGGGCAGGCATGTGTGGACCTGTGATGCTCCCCCCAACCCCCCACCCCTCATGCTCTTACAGACTGCAGCTTGGGGAACCCTGGGCACCCTCAGGACCTTCTTGAGCTTCAGCGTGGACAAGGATGTGCAAAGGCTGCTGAGGGCCATTGCAGGACAAGGTGAGCCCTTTCCTTCTGCACCTGAGGATCCACCTTTTAAAAACCAGTCTGCAGGGCGCCTGGGTGGCTCAGTTGGTTAAGCGACTGCCTTCGGCTCAGGTCATGATCCTGGAGTCCCTGGATCGAGTCCCGCATCGGGCTCCCTGCTCGGCAGGGAGTCTGCTTCTCCTTCTGACCCTCCCCCCTCTCATGTGCTCTCTCTCTCATTCTCTCTCTCTCAAATAAATAAATAAAATCTTAAAAAAAAAAAAAAAAAAAAACAGTCCGCAGACCAAGAAGGAGCCAGGAAGGAGGAAATGACGTTGTTCAATAAATGTTTGTGGAATGCCTGAATTCCTGTATGTCAAGTACCATGGTAGGTATGTCATTACCATTCTCAGGACACCCTTGTGAGGTAAGTCTTATTTCCATTTTACAGATGAGGAAACAGGCTTGGTGAGACAAAGAGGCTGGCCCAAGTTCACACAGCTCATAATGGCAGGACTGGGATTCTAATCTAAGTCTATAATCACCAAGCCATTTCTCCCCCACCACACCAGGCCACCTTCACCTAATTTTGGGTCAGGTTCGCATGCCATTTTGGCATCTTATTTGCATCTTTTTTTTTTTTTAAGATTTTATTTATTTATTTGAGAGAGAGAGAGAATGAGAGACAGAGAGCATGAGAGGGAGGAGGGTCAGAGGGAGAAGCAGGCTCCCCGCCGAGCAGGGAGCCCGATGCGGGACTCGATCCCGGGACTCCAGGATCATGACCTGAGTCGAAGGCAGTCGCTTAACCAACTGAGCCACCCAGGCGCCCTCTTCTTTTTAAATTCTTTTTTTTTGAGAGAGAGAGAGAGAGAAAGTGCTCAGGAGCATTGGGGGGAGGGGCAGAGAGAGAGGAAGAGAATCTTCAGCAGACCCCGCTGAGCACAGAACCCACCACCCTGAGATCATGACCTGAGCCAAAATCAAGAGTTGGAAGCTTAACCGACTGAGCCACCCCGGTGGCCCTGCATCTTCTTCTGAGGCTGAATGGAAGTGGGGATGTTGCAACACCCTTTGGAGGCTTCAAGTCCAAGGAGGAAGGGGATCCCCGCCCTGTAAAGATTCTGTTGGGTTCCGCCCAGCTGATGACCCAGCCCTCATCTTGGTTCAGGTGTGGACCGTGGCTCCATCGTGGACGTACTGACCAACAGGAGCAGAGAGCAAAGGCAGCTCATCTCTCGAGCCTTCCAGGAGCGCACCCAACAGGTAAGGCCGCTGACTTCCCAGGAGCAGTGGACTGGGGTGAGCAGCCCCCTGGAAGACTTGGAGTACAGCAATAGCAGCTGAGAGGGGGATGGCTGGTGCTTCTGGCCTTAGGAAAAAACCAGCCAGATGTTCCCAAAGCTCCCCACACATCCAGGGCCCTCCCCATGGTGCCCGCTCTCTGCCATGGGGACCTTTTATTGTAGGACCTGCTGAAGTCCCTGCAGGCAGCACTCTCTGGCAACCTCGAGAGGACTGTGATGGCTTTGCTGCAGCCTGCAGCCCAGTTCGATGCCCAGGAATTGAGGACAGCCTTGAAGGTACCAGCAGAGGAGGCTCGCTGGGTGTCTAGGAAGTGAGGACACCACTGAGGGGAGGAGAGGGTTGACTGATTTGCCTTTGCCCACTCCAGAGGAGTCGACTTGGCAGGGGCCCCCTTTAAACAGCCCATAATGACCCTTAAAGGACAAGTGGTCGGCCTCTGCTCTCTGCCATCCTAATGACATGGCCCAGTGTCAGAGTGGCCTCCCAATTTCTTGTAGAACTCAGGTTCTGCTGAGGATGTGGCCGTGGAAATTCTTGCCACCCGAAGCCCAGCCCAGCTGCAGGAGTGCCTGACGGTCTACAAACATAGTAAGAGCACGTAAGGAGAGGGGAAAGGGATGGCAAGACAGCGCCCACTCTCTGGCACTCCCTACAGGCAAGCCCTCTGGGAACGTGTCTGCCCCAGCTCTGTTCCCTTGGGGTCTTCCCCCCACCCTTGCCAGTTCTCAGTCTCCCCCAGGGCGAGAGCCCAATGTGATAATTTCCTTTCTTTCTTTTTTTTTTTTTTTTTAAGATTTTATTTATTGAGCGAGATAGTGATAAAGAGAGAGCATGAGGGCGCCTGGGTGGCTCAGTTGGTTGAGCGGCTGCCTTCGGCTCAGATCATGATCCTGGAGTCCCTGGATCGAGTCCCGCATCGGGCTCCCTGCTCAGCGGGGAGTCTGCTTCTCCCTCTGACCCTCCCCACTCTCATGTGCTCTCTCTCATTCTCTCTCTCTCAAATAAATAAATAAAATCTTTAAAAAAAAATAGAGAGAGCATGAGGGGGGGAGAGTCAGAGGGAGAAGCAGACTCCCCACTGAGCAGGGAGCCCGATGCGGGACTCGATCCCGGGACTCCAGGATCATGACCTGAGCCGAAGGCAGTTGCTTAAACAACTGAGCCACCCAGGCACCCCGATGATCATTTCCTTTCTTTAAAGAGAAGCAATGAGTAGCCATCTTAGTCTGGGGCTCCAGGGCAGATTCCGAGGTAATGACGTCGGGCACTGTGACGATCCCAAGGGTACCCATGTCATCTTCCCAGCCCCTTCCTGATTCTGCCCTCACACCCCATCCCAGGCTGAATGGAACCTTGTTGCAGCTGGGGGGAAAGGTGGAGGACCTGCTCTCTAAGTCATGGGTACTACCCCTCAGGCCCCTGCTTGACTGCCACATGCCTCACCCACTAATTGCTAACTGGCCTTCCCTCATCCTTATCTGAGCACCCCCCCTTTTTTGCTTTCCCTAATTTTCCTTTGATGGCCATTCTTGGTCTTTCTAAATTCCTCTCCTACCTCTCACTTCTTTTTTTTTTTTTTTTTTTAAGATTTTATTTATTTGAGAGTGAAAGAGCACAAGCAGGGGGAGAGGGAGATGGAGAAGCAGGCCCCCCACTGAGCAGGGAGCCTGACGCGGGGCTCAATCCCAGGACCCTGGGACCATGACACGAGCTGAAGGCAGACTGAGCCACCCAGTCGTCCCCTACCTCTCACTTCTTGCTTCTGTTTTTCTTTTCCTTCTTTTTCTTTCACTTCTTCACATCCTTCCACATCACTTCTCCTTGCCTCCAATGAAGGGGCCAGGCCCTAGCCATCCTGCCTTATGATGTAAGTTTCCCTATCCCCCTTGACTGCTGGCCGGCCCTCAAATAACAGACGCCTCCTTCCCCTAGCAGGTTGGCTCCCTGTGGTGCATGACCCTACAGCGCATGGGTTACTCACAGCTTAGGGATGTTTTCAGGGTGGCCATAATGGTGCTTCTGCTTTACATCCTGGGAACCAGCAGCCATCAGGCTACCCCCAGCAGGAGATGACAGTGTAGGCAGGGCACAGTGGGTTGGGCATTTGACAGGGAATATCTACATTGGGAAAAATCAGGAGACTTCAGAGAGCTCCTGCCCCCACCCCAGATTTCCAGGTGGAGGCTGAGGAGGACATCAAATGTGAGACCAGCGGCATCTTGCAGGAACTGCTCCTGGCCCTGGCCATGGTGAGGAGGACTGGCCTTCAGGAGAGTAAGGGGGCTGGGGGAGAGGGGGGAGCATTGCTTTGGTATAATTAACAAGAGAAGGCTTTGGGGAGAGGGCTTTGGTTGGTTTGGGTTGGTTGTCCTAGAGGTAAAAAACTACCCCTCAAAGAGTCCTCCTGAGAGAGTTTCTTCTAGGGGGCCCGTGAGAGCTACTCTGGAATCATTGACTATAACCTGGTGGAACAGGATGTCCAGGTGAGCAGGGGTGAGGAGCTTGCCCAGCCACGCACGTAAGACACCCTCCTCCACCCACTCCTAGAGCCAGTGACAAGTGTCCCCACTTGTCCTGCAAATCTCTCCTTGCCTTGGGGGAGTCCTCAGTGACAGGTGAGGACATGAAGTTTCAGGTAGTGACCATCTGAAGGCTTTTCACTCGTTTAGCCTCTGATTCCTGAACTCACAGGCAGTGAGCTCGTCAACTGACACATTCTCCTCTCAGGGGCGTTTGGGTGGGGTAACCCTCCTCAGACTTTCCCTTGGAGATTAATTCCTTGAGTGCCAGGATTTCCCCAAATTGGGGAATCGAGCTGTGAGGGCAGAGTCCCTCTCTTAGCCCTATTCCCTTTTTGTTTGTTTGTTTTAACCATAAATAAAGGCAACCGCTTCACAGGTTCAATTAAGCTTTTCCACTCTGAATCCCATTTCCATCATCATGATCACAGATTCTGGGAACATCACAACCGTGGCTCCCGTACCCCCAACCAATGATCCCGGTTTACTCCTCCCTCCCAGGCATTAAGACAGGCTGAAGGGCCCAGCACAGAGGGCACGTGGGTCCTAATCTTCACCCAGCGAAATCCTGAACACCTCGTCCGAGGTACACGCAAGACTTCTTGTCTTCCCCGCTTACTCTAATGATGAGTTTTGGCTGAGGAAGGTGGGGAGGGCTCACCCTTCTCTGTGATAATCAACCCCCGCTCCCATTTATCTTTCTAACTACCTCCCACACCCCCCACAAGTGTTCGATCTGTACCAGCGGTATACTGGGCACGAGCTGGAGAAGACTGTCCACCACCTTTTCCACGGAGATGCCCAGGCAGCTCTGCTCAGCCTAGGTAGGGCCTGTTCAGCACATGCCGGGTAGGGCTCTGGCCTAGCGTGGGAGCTGGCTCTCTCCATCTCTCCCTCTCTGCTTGCAGCCTCGGTGATCAGGAACACACCGCTCTACTTTGCTGATAAACTTCATCAAGCCCTCCAGGTGAGAGGGACGCTTCTTTCCCCTCCCTTTGGGACAAAAACTGGGGGAAGACATCTTCTGGGCAAGAGAGAGGAAGTTTCACACTGTTGCTAATGTGACAACCACATATTTACTTTATAAACATATAGTAGCTCTCTTTTCCTAGGTTTGCAAACTGTCTTGTGAATAATAGAGGCGTGAGCCGTGGTTAAAGCTAAATGAGTTGACTCAAAAGGGCACTGAAGCCAAAATTTTGGCCTAACTGATGTCTAGGTGGCCAAATATAGATATGAATTTGCTCTGTAAGACAGCACCATGTCCAATTTCAGTTGTCACCGGAATAATGATGGTGATGACAAGAACCAACATTTCTTGGGTGCTCTCATTGTGTCCCAGGGCCTATGCTGAACTTGTTACACACATTTCAATTAATCTCCATGGCCACCCTCCATCTGTCTTATAGATGAAAAAACTGAGGTACAGAGAGGTTAAATTCTTTGCCCAAGGTCATATACAGCTAATAAATCATATAGGCTTCCTATAAAACACATAATGGCTAATATAACATTGTATGTTATTTATGTTGGAATTTAAAAATAATTAAAAACCACACACACATAATGGTCTTATAAGACATTTAACTGCCATGTGTCAACTCAAATAGGTGTTGGTCTATCCTATAAGCTAAACCATTAGAGTTCTAGCACCCAGGACCACCTTTCTCCACACTGGTCGGACCTAGTTCCCTATTATCCACACCTAAATTGGTGATGTTGGTTTGAGTAATTTCATAAACAGAATCCAGTCGTTCTACTCATTGAGCTAGGTCTCCTATTAGTACAACTGTCCCCCAAAACCTATAAATAAAAAACTCACCCAAATTTTTAAGAAGATAAAAGGAGTTATTGTTTTGGTAGATGGCATAGCTTCTTGTATACTGAGTGAGAAACCATCATGCCTTGTTGACAGCTATTCAAAAGACAGTACATATGTGCACTTATTTTATCATCAATGGAGATTTCCATTTTGACAGTAGATTAATATTTTACTTACCCAGTAAACTCTGTACTATTATACTGAGCCAACACTAAGACTGATTTGAAGAGTTCTGGTTATCTGTCTAAATTCCGGTCATAAACAAACTTGTATCCCAGCAGTAAATGATTATAATGTATTTGGATTGTGGGACCCATGCTCTTAGTTGTAAATGCCAGGTTTATCCTAGGAGTCACAAAATAATATAGGCCTATTTTTCTGAAAAGTTTTTTTTAAAAAGGAAAAACTCAATCATATGCTTCTTAACTCTCTTATGAGAAATATATGAAAACATAGATTGTGACAAATATTTATTCAGAAAAATGACCTTCAGTGAAGGCTGATTCAGGAAAATTGGGACCAATCTGAACCATATAATGAATGTTCACTAAAAGGTCCTGGGGAAGTATGAGATGCCACGTACATTCTCAAGTAACAAGGCAAGAATTATGTTTAATGTAGGTTTGCTAGACAGGGTGCTTGTGCATCAATGTTCCAGAATTTTCAGTAATGAGTACCTTGCCCCAATTCTACAACTTTGGAGTAATAAGAGTTGGAAGAAGGGGAAGAACGGATATTAGGGAGCGATCAACAATCTTTATCACAATACAAAATTGATGATACATGAAATTTAAGATAAAGCAGCTCTCAGCACTGACCATGAGGTAATGAGTCCAAATGAAATATGGCATCCTGTTACTTCCTCATTTTCTTTTTTTCTCCCTCGTGGGAATTTATGATCTGTGTAGATGCCTTAAGTGTGGGTATCAGGCAGTTCTGGGAAGGGTCTCGTGAGTCCGGTAACAGGAAACACCGGGAAAGAAGCTTTTAGGAAATTGTGACAGCGCCGGTATACAGCCCATGACATAAGTAGGATTTTTGCAACCAACGTTTTTATTTAGAAATCTCTCATGATAGCTAACACATTCATTATAATCAGTTAAAATTCATGATTTGATATAACCAATTATAATTCACGTATTGTACCTCTATTATTTCTAAACTGAATCCTCCATTACTTTCCTTAACCAAAAGGCAGGAGGCTTGGTACAGGCTTAGGAGGAAGACAGTGATGCTGGACCCAGGGGTCCAACCAGGAGAAACTGATGTATACAGATGGGGATGTGAGGTGGCCCTGGTAGGTCAGGCTCAGAACCAAAAGCCACATGACCCTGCTCTCTCTCAGAGCCCCATCAACTCAGTTTGGGGATAGGCTGGGTATATCCTCCTTGGACATTCACTAACTTGGAAGTTGAGAACTTCTTGGCTTTCATGCTGGAAGTCTTTATAGGTAGCAAGTCTTTCCTATCCTTTTTGGAGGAACTGCCGTTGGAGCTGCCCACCACTGAGATCTTGAGGAATGAGGCTCTAAGCTAGTGGCGTGGCCTAGAAAGACATGTGGCCAGGACGAGAATTAACCAGCTGCTCCCACAGAGACCGATCTTTCCTGCTATATCACCTTCCATGAGGGTGGACAAGGATCCATTTTCCTCTTAGATAACGTACACTTCTCTTTTCCCTGGATTCACACCTCGCTTCCCCTTTCTAGAGTAATTTACCATGCTGTCCAGTCTCTACTCTGTGAGAAGCTTACTACCACCCTCTCCCCCTTCTGTTTCTCCCTCTACCAGGACATCAAGCCCAATTACCAAGTCCTGATGCGCATCCTTATCTCTCGAAGTGAGACTGACCTTCTAAGCATCCGATCGGAGTTCAAAAAGAAATCTGGCAAGTCCCTCTACTCTTCTCTCCAGGTGAGACTTGGCTCGTTCTTAACCTGGAGCCCCAGAGCTTCACCCCTTACCTCCACTCTGCCCTCCCTGCACACCACCGAGCATATTCATGCCCTGGAGAACTCATGAGTCTTTGGTTAATTTCGTACACAACTCTTGACATCAGACAGTTCTGGACCAGCACAAGGGAGGAAACAGAATGCCTGGGCCATGGTGGTAGTGGGGTCTAACACTTGACTCTCTTGTCTGCAGGAGGCAGTGAAAGGGGACTGCCGGTCAGCTCTACTAGCCCTGTGCAGGGCCGAAGACATCTGAGGCCTCCCTGGCCTCCTGCCCTCCCTACCACACCATGACATCCAAGGATCTAAGATCTCCATGTTTGGCTGAGCCTGCCGGAAATCAGCTGGACCTCCAAATAGGATAACCCCTCACTGAGCGCCACATGTTCCAGCTTCTTGTTGAGGCTAGAATCTGAAGTCTCTTTTGAATCCCTTGATTTCCTCATCTCAAAGTGATGCCTTACCTGGGTCCCCCATCTCTGTCTTGGGTATAGACAGATCTTTGATGGTTTCTGCCCTACTCATCCTTCCCATACCCTGGCCAAAACATCTCACCGATTCTTGAATTCTTTTGGCAAACTTCACTGTTGTTTGTGTTCCCTGATTGAAGTTTGGGTGGAGCAGGACATGGGCTGGGAGGAGGCCTTGAAGTTGGAGGTGCCTTTGATATGCACTTGGATATTCAACAGGGATCCTGTTTGAGGCTCTAGGGCTGCAACAAACACCCCCCTCGAAGCTCCCCGCCCCCCAATTATTCTCTCTTCCCCAGGAAATTTCAGGCAAAGTAACTGAGAAACAGGAGCCGGAATGAGGTCAGTAATAGAGGCAGCAAAGGACCATCTGATCAAGCTGCCCTCCCCTGCCTGGGAAGTCATAGGTTAGCAGGGAGCACAACGCCCAAATCGCATCTGTCCAAAGCAGGGACTTGGAAACCCACTTCCCAAACTGGATTACCATTTGCATCCAAGACCTATCAAAAACTAATACAGACAGAAAAGAAAATAAGCAGGCTTTGGTTCCCTCTGCTGGCCCTATTAGAAATGACAAGCAAAGCCACCCTCCGGGCCTCTATAACCTCGCCCACCTTTTTGCATTCCCTAATTGGGGCAAATACTGAACCCCAAGTGCGGCAGAGCAAGGCAAACAACAGATCTCAGGAAAGAAGTTTTATTTCCAAACCCCTAGGAAAGCCATTACAAATAATGGAGATAGAAACCCAAACCAAACCCTGAAACAATTGGAGACAGGCCAGCAGGATGGCCAGGAAGGGCCCAGCGAGTTGGGGGTGGAAGTAGGCGAGAGGCATTCTAGACAGGGACCTCACCCTGGAGCCTGAGTCCATATATGAGTGTGACTGTTCTGGGGCAGGGGCGCTGGGAACCAGAAATCCTCACCCCACCAACCCCAAAGTTGCCCTGGACGACTGGGAGGCAGAGAAGGCGGCAGGACACGAGGGCAGGATGTTACGGAGTCTGACCTTGGCATTTACTGCCTGCTCTGATCCCCCACGTCCATAAATACATTACCCTGCATATCTCAGGGGTTGAGCTGGGGGAGCAAGTAGAATAGCCATCACCTCCGAAAGAGGGAGGGCAGCCCCAGCACTGGGCAAAGCTACAGGACGACACAGTCTGAGTCTTGCTTCGGCCTCTGCCGACGCTCCCCGACTGGGCGTCCAGACGTGGCTCCTCTCCCCTGCATGGGATTTAACAGTGGGTCACTCGTCAGCCCGGAAGAGCACAAGGACAGAGGTTCTAGAAGGACGTGGGGGCAGGAGCAGGAGGGGCGGGGGGCTGGGGGGAGAAGATGGGACCCAGGGGAGAGGAGCACCTTGAAGAGACGAGGGCAGGAATCACGAGGACGAGCAGGGCGGAGCTCGGGGCCCCCGGGCAGGCGGGCAGGGCGGCGAGCCGCTCACCTGGGGCGAGGCCCGCACGGGCGCGGGGGGGCCTGCTTGCTGCTGCCGGTACTCCTCCTGCTGAAGCTGCCGGGCCAGCTCCAAGTCGCTAAGACCCACCGTGTCCTGCGGCTGGTGCTGCAGGGACAAGGCGATCAGGTAGTCCTAGAGAGGGGCCGAGAGATCGGGAGCAGTGAGGTCGCCGGGGCCTGGGGCACATTCAGGCTGGCTCTAGGTTTCCAAACCCATCTTTCTTCTCCTTCAAATTCACCAGCTCCTCCTCCAGAGCAAAACACACAGCCAGTACACTCGGTGGTGACCGAGAACACGCTCCAGGCTCCGAGGCGGCCCGGAGGTGGCGGTAAGGGGGCGTCGTGGCTCCTGAGGTCTACGTGAGGAAACGCACGTCACTCGCCTAGGGCGAAGAGCTCTCCGCACCCTTCCCAAAGAGCCCACACACCTGGTCGACCTGCCGCCGCTTCTCGGGGGAGCCCCTCGCACCTCCTGCTCCAGGCCCCCTGCCGAAGGAATGACTCAGGTGGAAGTCCGAGTCGCAGAAGCAGCTGTCTCCGTCGACGGTGTGCAGGCTCTCCCACACCACCTGCTCCTCCTGCAGAAAGCCCTGGTCGGTGACCAGCAGGTACAAGTGACCCTGCGGAGAAGAGGGCGAAGTTCGTGGGCGGCACGGCCGACCCAGAGGCGCTCGGCTGAGACGCAGAGAGCGTGTGAGGCGCCTGGCGTGCCAGCCGGGGCGAGAGGGCGCGAGCCGTGGCCGCGGGGAGGAGGCCGGGCTGCGGCGCCGCGGTCGGCTGGGCGAGAGGAGGCCGGGCACCGTGGTCCCGCGGGAGGCCTCGGCCCGGGGCCCCCACCGGACGCTGCTCCCTACCCTACTCCCCGTGGGTCTCGGGGCTGGCCTAAATCCTCGGAGAGCCAGAGACCTTTCCTTCTCCCATTTAATTCCATTCTCTTCCTGGGAGAGGACTTTACTCGCCTGTCCCACTGAGGCCAGCCTGAGTCCGTAGGGCTTGCTCTGGCCAGTGAGAAGGTGGCAGAAATGACACGTGTCATCTCCAGGCAGAAGCATTAAAAGCGGGTGCGGGGTGTCCCTCTCCCTTTTCCCTCCCACATTCCAGATGAAGGCCGTGTCGTCAGCCTGGGTCCCAGAGCGAAGACGATGTGGGACAGAATGGCAGCCAAGCCGCAGTGGCCATCCAGCAGGAGAAATAAACCTCGGTTGTGGTAAAGCACAGGGATTCTCGGGGTCATCTGGTACCTGAACTTAATCTACCCTCTCCTGTCGGACACACTGACCCGGAAGAAAAAACCTCGAGGAAGTGACAGCACTCCACCCGCCCCACCCCCGTCTCATCTCCAAAGCCTCATCACCTTGTGCTTAGTCATGGTGCTAAAGTGGTTGTTTCGGAAAAAGACGCTAAGTTCACCCTCCTTGGCAGCTGCTGTTAGCTCACACAGCCCGTGGTAGGTCAGCTGGGCTGCAGTGCTCTCCAGGAACTGCTCTGCGATCAGGCCTGTCAGAAGGCACAAAATGGCGCACGAGGGGCTTGGCTTCAATCCAAAGTCCACAGTGGGAAGAAGGATCACCCAGAGAGTCCCTGTCAGAAGCCCTAAGGATGGTCCCACCTTCTGAGATCCCTTGAAGCCTGGCTGTATTCATTCATCCAACAAATAGTTACTGAGCGGCCGCCTTGCGCCAGGCGCAGCCCTAGGTCCTGAACGCAACAGCCAATTCCCCCAACTCTCTCTCATGGGGTTTCCATTCTAGGGGGATGTGGTGGGGGGAGACAGACGGTAAACAATACACCGAGGTAGCCATCATTCCCTCCACAGAAGACCCCCAGAAGAGAAAGCAGGGCTCTACCACCTTCTGTCACAAGGTTGGTGTCACTAGAGTGCTTGCAGGTGATGATCTTCTCCACCAGCTGGTTGTAACTCAGTTTCCCAACTGCGCTCACAGCCTCGGGACTCTGCATGGGCAGTGGGGTGGGGTGGTACCAAAACAATTAAGAACTTTTTAGGAAGGAAACGAAGCATGCCCACAGGATTGCAACCCTATAACCAAAGGTTCCTGAAACTGCATTTCTGAAGAACTGACCTATTTGCATTTGGTTTTGCCCATGTTTGCCCCTCAAAAAGGTTAAAATTCAAGGAATTCTGCACTGGGTCCAGCCTCTAATGCCTATTCCTTTCCCAAGCCAATCTAATCCCTAACTCCCTAACACCCACCCCACAACACCTTGCTTGTCTGTCAGTTTGCGTTGGATAAGAGTCTCATTTGGGCCATCCCACCCTCACCTGCGGATCAACCAGCCAGCCATGGTACAGAGGTATGCCTAGGAGGTCAAAGATACTGCACTCAGGAGTATACTCAAAATCAGAGACCCCTGTGAATCGCACGTTGACATCCAGACCCGTGGCCAGTTTAGGCACCACCGTCATTGCATCGTCCACATTCTGGGGTTAGAAAAGAAAATGATGCTTATATCACATCAACACGTTAGACATCTTCAAATTATACAATCTTATGTGTCAGTTATATCCCAATAAAGCTGGGCAGGGGGAGAAGAAAATGATGGTTACTCTAGCCTCCCCTCCCCTGACTCCTAGCTCCAGAAATAAAAAAAATTAATCCTGTTGCTTTTCTTCCCTGGTTCTCTTACAGGCCATTCCATTCCTCCCTTGCCTCAACCCTTCTTTATCTTATATAAAGGAACACATTTTCTAGGACAGAGATATACCCTCCTCCCCCTGCAGAAAGAAATCATAGTTCAAGGGGCCTTCTTGAGAAGCAGAAGAAAAGCTTCTCTTCATAGCCTAGGTGTCCCCTTACAAACCTGCAAACTCCCATGCCCCCAGACCTTTGCCTTACCTGCTGAAAATTAAGCTGAAGTCCCTCTGACTTCTCCTGGGGCTTGATGGACAGGAGGCAGTCTCCTACAAGACAGGATCCCTCATCAGTTTTCCCCAATTGTCCCAAAAGCTGCTTCCTCTTCTCCTGGAGAATGGTCACAGACCACCGACTTTCAGAGCTGGGAAGAGCCTTAGAATCTAATCCAGACCTTTCACTTTTCAGAGGAAGAGACACAAAGGTGAAGGGCCCACCCAAGGTCACATTGAAAGCTCAGGGCAGAAGTAGGGTTATAATCCTGGACTCCTGATACCTTGATTTTTGCTTTTCATTCCCCAGCCTTGCAGAGAAGCCCTGTAGACCTTCACCCTCCTTGCCACATCAGAGCCCCAAATGGGAAGTCCCGCAATATTCTGGATTTCTGGCTGAGTGGAAAGTGTAAGCTCTTGAACCTTCTGTGTAATTCCTCTCCAAGGCCCAGTCACTCACCAAGATGGGCCATGAGCTCATCTGATGTGATCACTTCCTTCTGAGGGGGCAGCTTCACCTGGAGGCAGAAGGGGTGACCAAAGGGTTAGGCATGTGTGCATTTTCCTTCACAGAGCACTGAAGGAGAAATACATAGAAGGACGGGGGCGGGGGAGGGGGAGAAGGGGAAGGCATGGTGGGAAAGGCTTGCAACTGCAGTGAGGGAATGAATGTGAAGTATTGCGAGACACTCCCATTTGCTAGACAGTAAAAGATACAAGAGTAGGACAGAGAATTGTTTTGTTTTGTCTTGTTTTTATGAATATCTTATCTCACTTGTTCAAGCAGGAGAAATAGAGACAATAATCTGGAAAGTTTTGCCTGGTCTGAGAACAGCAGAGGTGTTCTCAAGGAGGTGGGTCAGGGAGGGGGACTCTCCCCAGCAATTTCTGAGCCCCCGTCCAAACTCTCTCTTACCTTCCACTGAAGAAAGAGGATGTTCATGATGGCAAGGAGAGGGCAAGGGCCATTAGAGCTCTGGGTGATGATGGGTGTCCGTTCTCCCTTCCAGGGGATCCACTTTACACAGTAGAAATCTAGCTCAGGCTGTTGGGCCCTGGGGGTCAGGGGGAGTTCTTGGGGCCTGGAGCAGGCCCCCACTGTCTCTACCTCAGGCTGTGTCCCGTGGGCTGGCCCCAGTTGGCTGGAACTCACATCAGGTGGAGGGGACTCAAGGTTATCCTGGCCCTGGGCCAGCCGTGAAGCTTGGTCTACTGGTGCCTGTTCTCCGGCTGTCCCATCAGCATCTCCAGCATCCT